ACTAACTGCTGGTTAATTTTCAGCATGACACATTTTTGAGCAAATGTATGAAGGTGTTCAGCTGTGATGAAAGCTACTAAGATATTTTTTTAAAGAATATCAATTCGTAGAACTTGCCACAATAGAGCATAATCACAAATATAATCAAGTGACGTCTTTAAATCGAAATGATCATTTTTATAATCATACAAATTTAGAAGTGATTGTGTATTTCCTTTATTACCTGCCCTCGCTCAAATTTATTGATGTTGTCAGAATTCTTCAGGCAGCGCTCTCCAGTGTCTCCGTTCTCTCCATAAATATTAATGTAGACATTGGCGTCGGTCCCGGCTCCCATCATGTCACCAGTGAAGACACACACTTCGTAGGTGTTGACTGTCAGACAAAACAAGGGTTCAATTACTAACACCTTGTTAACCTGTCATACATGCCCTCCAAGTAAAATGTGTGAACCAATTATGGCTAAAACACAACACTGAAGACACAATAAAGATGTCGTAAATAAAAAGACATTTCAGTTCTTTATTGCTTATTAGCTGTAGCTAATTGAATTTTCTTAAATGACTAAAAATGGGATAAGGTGGTACTGTGAAGTCTTGTTCAAAAAGATAAATGCAGACAGGTGGCTGCTCACTGGAAAACTGATAGAAAATACACCTGCTTTAAGCCTATGTCTTAAATTAATTAACTATGTGAGGAGAAGGGATGCATATGGGAAGAAGAGGTGCTCTTTGAATAAAACAGACCTTTTCTTCTCTCTAACTTTAAAGACATGATGTTAAATCTTTTAGTTTTGGTTGACTTAATAATATTATTACGTGCAATGTAATCATGAATTTCATCCAGCACTGGTATGCTTCCTTTGCTCTGAATGCATTATTCATGTGAAAAGGCATTTGAATTCAGTGCAGATGGTAAATTACCTCCATGACTAGATTTCCACATAGGGAGGTAACTAAGGAGTGCACACAGTCAGTGAGACTGCAAAAGTTGATGTCAGTCATTAATAATATAAAAAAAATTATAATGAAAATCTCACGCATTGAAACTTTAATATGCTCCAAACTCAGAGAAGTGTTTAAAGAACATATGCAATTTCTAAAAATGCATTTAATGCTGTTGCATTTTTGATATAATTTAAATAGAGGGTTCATGGACCAGCGAACAAAGCTTTGTTTGCCTGACTCTATCCGTGCATGAATAGCAGCTCCATTTTGCTGCAGGTGGTATATTTGAAAGAGTGATTTTGGTGCATTTTTATTGTGGAGTATGCAAGGAGAAAAGGGTTTCGTTTTGTACTATGTTGCAAATCCATGGCCACTGAACAACTGGGAATTACTATTATGATGATTATTACTATATATCATCATCATCATGAACTGTGTTAAATAAAACAGTTAACACTTTCATTTATTAAAAGCTTGTTCATTTAGTACCTTCCATCTCTTCTGCATCTTCAGGCAGCAGCTCCACCACCAGCTCGCCGTCCTCCTCTCCCCCAGCCAACCAGCGTGAACAGGGAAAATGATATGTCAGCACCACTTCTTGCATCTCCTCGCCACCCTCCTCATCCTCATCTTCCTCTTTCTTCTTTTTCTTCTTCTTCTTCTTGTCCTCCTTTTTCTTCTCCTTGGGCACCAAGGCCATGATGAGATGTTTCACGTCCACTGTCTCCAGGAACCAGCCAGATCCAATGCCGGCGCCACTGTGACCGATGCGTATCTTAAAGATCTTTCCGACATCTTTGGCCTCTATCTGTCAAACAATTGAAAAGTTTTGATTCAACATTTGGACACTTACTTCTGCATTTACGTTAAATTGTTGCAATAGATTTGGAGTTTTGGAAATCATAAAATCCAGATTTGAAACCTTAAATATTTCTGTGGTATTCCGTTCAAAGTTGTTGGATCTGCTTTCGAGTGTGATAACCTCCGTCTTCCCCTTGTCCCCGAAGATTTGGATGAAGACTACAGCATTTGTGCCAGCAAACACCACATCTCCGGTCATGACTGTTATCTCATAGTTTATTACTAGAAAATGCAGATCGATGAATGTGAAAGTGAACACAAGTATTTTTTGTGCAGCATTGGTGTTAACACATACACTATAGATGTGTAAGCTCATATATTCAAAACTCCTTACATAATAATTCAGTTCAGTGTAATTGTTTTTAAATAGTGGAAATTCACAATAACTTTTATCTCAAGGTACTTTATATTGCAGGCCCCAAACCCTACAGTCTAAAAAATATTTTAAAATAACCCAACAAAGAGACAACCCCCTGTGAGCTTGCACTTGGTGATGGTGGGAAGGAAAAACTCCCTTTGAACAGGAAGAAACTTCCAGCAGAACCAGCTTCAGGAAGGGGCGGCCTTTTGCTGGGACTGGTTGAAAGAAAAGACAGCAAAAGACACACTGGGAGAGAGAGGCAGAGTTAGGTAACTGCAAGTGGTGTGTAAAAACAAAAAGAGAGAAAAGAGTGGAAAATAAATGCTCAGTGCATAATGAGAAGCCCCCTGAGACCTGGGACCATAGCAGCATAGCAGTTTAGGTTCACCTCACCCATCCCCAAATAAGCTTTGCTGAGAAGGAAAGTTTTGAGCTTAGTCTTAAAAGAAGAGAGTGTGTCTATCACCCAAATATCAACTGGGTGCTGGGCCCAGTCTACTTTAGGAAACTCTTGAAAGCACAAGTAAGCCTGCCGTCTGAGAGCGAAGTGTTGTATTGGGATAATATGGTATTATGAAATATTTAAGATATGATGGTACCTGATTTCTCTAGGCTTTGCATGTGAGGAGAAGGATTTTACATTCAGTTCTAGACTTGAAAAGTGGCCGATAAAGAAATGCTAATACAGGAGAAATGTGTTTTCTCTTTGTCATCACTGTCAATAATCAAACTGTGGCATTCTGGATCAACTGATGAACTTTTAAGTAAATTTCAGAACATCTTGATACCGATGAATTGCACTGGCCCAGCCTAGAAGTAATAAATTCATGAACTAGTTTTTCAGTATCAAAAATGTCAAAAATGACTCCAAGATTGATCACAATGTTACTGGTTGGCCAAAGTAACGCCAGTATGAGTTAGATGGTTAGATGCCATATTTCTCATATTTTTAGGGCTGAGTACAATAACCCTAGTATCATCTGCATAGTAACCTCACAGAAGGGCTCCATTATTAACCTTGGTATCTGAAGGTGACTCCCCATTTTGACTTTTGACTTACTCACTCATTTAAATACTGTTTATTAGTGTTTTTCTTCTTGTGCTTAATGTGTTGCCTACATTGTTCTACATCCAGGATCTCGCTTGGGTAGAGCTCCACCGTTGTTTTGCCATCGGCCTCATCTTCGTCCAGCCAGCGGTGGCTGGGGAACATGTAATTCTTTCCATGGACTGGAACCAAAATTTGAACACTGTCCAAGAACCAGCCCGCACGCATGCCTTTGTTAGTGTGGCCGATCAACAGACGGTTGATCTAGAAGAATAAATAAATGACACCAATTACATTTTATTAAAGACGTTTCACACAGAAATTCTGAAAGTTCACAGGAAAAAACAAAACAATAGAATCTGTGTTATGTGTTTTTTCCATTTTACTTTAGCAAATATCCTCTCATATTTGGAGCAAATTGAATAAAATATCATAATACTACTGACAATTATTGTTGCTAAGCCACTGTCCACAAACAGACACTACAAACATTGTTTCTATGATGTGTTTGTAACAGTAACTAAGCAACAGTAATTAGTAGTAAGGGTACAAATGCATTTAGACTACAGTTAAGATCTTTTTTTTTATTAGAATACGGAGAGTATTACCCTCTAATAGAATAGAATGAATCACAAAAGGCTATGTGTCTTTCATAAGTGAGAATAGGTCTTTAGTAAAGCTTTTCATAGTACTACAGTAGTGTGTAAAAGTCTCCAGCCACCTCTTATTTATAATCTTTATAATTTGCAAGGAAAATTGGAAAATAGGTGCAGAGATTTATTGAAAAATGTGCAAACCTACATGAAAATATGTGCTAAAAACACAGTCTGTGCAATTGAAACAAGGGAATCACCTTTTGGTGCATAAAAAATTACAAAGAAAAAGTCAATTTCCATGGAAACAAAATATAAAGAATTAAAGGGGAAGACTTATGCATAGTACTTTACATTGGCATCAACATCAAATGACAAAAACCTGTCCAATGTCAAAGGTTTCCACTGTGAAGATGTCAACGCGGCCTGTTTCAAAGTAGTTCCCCAGGTCGTTGGCAGAGACCACCAGCATCATCTTACTGGTGTCACCTTTCTCTCCATAGAGCTTCACGAACACATCAGAGTCAGAGCTACCTCCGGGGATGTCACCTGTCTTCACAGCGATGTGATAGTTGGTATCTGACACACACAGAGAACAAATATAAGCATGACAATAAAATTCAAACGTTACTGAAATGTCAGATTCCTTTAACTTACTGTAAAGACGCTGTCCTTCTCCAAACGGAACTAATTCTCTGACAATCTGTCCATCATCCTCGTTGCGAGCCAGCCATCTGCACGCCACATTCAGTAAACAAACTATTATCTCATCCATCACACACACACACACAGTTTAACAACTATTATGTATATACTTGCAAAACATGTTTTTAGGAACATGTAATCATCCAATCATTCATTCATGCGCCAGCACTGCAGCAAATAAAATCTTCAGGATCAGGATCTTTACTTTATGTGCACATCAAAATAAAGAAATGAGGCAGGCTGTCTTTAAAGAAGTGTTCCTAACAAAGTGACTAGTTAGTGTCGATTTTATTTCCCCGCAACAACTGTGACTGATGAGAGCACCTGTTGCAGGGGAACTCCACGGCATTTGCCTCAGCTTGTCCTTCCTCTCTTACAACCACTTTGTCAAGAAACCAGGCAGAGCCTCCACCTTTGCCATCATGTCCAATTCTCACCCTGCGGATCTGCCCAATGGCCACCGCCTCAATTAGAAACTCATCCAACTAGAAAAACACACAATTAGATTGGATGAAGATCAGTCATGTGACTTCTAAATGAAAAAACAAAGGAAGAGTGAAGCTTTCTTCGTGAGCTCTATGTTTAAGAGTGCAGTGCTAAATATACATACACTTCCTTTCTCAAACTTGTTGACGTTGTTTTTGCAGTTGATCAGGTCCCTATCGCCGGTGTCCCCTTGGTCTCCAATTAGATTTAGAAAAACAGATGCATCTGTGCCGCTACCACCCACCGTCCCCGTGCAGACAGTTACTCTGTATTTAATCACTGCAGAGAACAATAACATAATTCATCGTCGCTTACATTCTTCTTCTTGTTTAGCTAATAAGATTTGGATTGTTCATGGTGAATGTGGATATACACACAGGGCAGAGGCTCAGCAATAAGCTCTCCGGTGGCGGGAAGCTCTCTCACAACCTCATTATCATCTTCATTAGTATCCAGCCACCGCTCACAAGGAAATGTATACTTCTCCTTCGTTAATGTTTTCATTAATGTTGCCTGAATGAATAAAGATGATATTGATTTTTGATTGTATCAGTTGGAGCTGAGGATGCTGATTTCTTTATATTAGCACCATTCTTGTGTTTGCTAGGCTAGAATGCCTAAAAACTGGCTGTTTGAAATTTTAGGATTTTTATGAAATCACTAGCAGAAATAGGTATGGAAATGTCACAGCTGAGATAATTTATCCGATTACTAGAGTTGAGAAATTCTCACCTTGCTTAAATGCCATCCTCCAAAAGGATTCCTCTTTTCATGCCAGATACGGAGTTTGGTCAGTTTTCCCAAATCAGGAAGTTCAACCTGTGATTTTAAGTCAAGGTAAAAGTCGTTTATTACTGTGTGCAGCCTCAGTATCTGACGTGCTGATACTAATGTGTGTAGCACTGAATTGTAGGATACTTACCATAAATCTGTCAACTTGTCCTTGTTCAAAATTGTCTGTTTTGTTGTCCAGGCTGATTTCGTCTGACTTGCCCTTTTCTCCGTACACCTGGAACGAGATATCAGCATCGGTTCCTGCGCTGGGCAGGTCCGACGTCCAGATCCACAGCGACCAGGGATGCTCTGAGGAATGTGAACTCAAATCATCATCTTAAATTAGGACTGCCATCATCATAATTTGTTTGTCACTGTGACTAAGAGCTCATCCATTCTCCCTGATTGCTTTGGCAGAGTGAAATAAAGTATGCTTTACACATTTGAGGGCAGTAGGAACACAAAGTCTCTGGAAGGATTTTTTGACAAGAGCTTAAAGATGTCAGGGGAGCAGCTGAAAATGCATTTTTGCTCATTAAAAATCTTCTCAGGACAGAAACTACCATTTTGAGGTGATTGCAGCAGACAGCTCCCAACTGTGATTTTTTGTGATTGTGAATGGGCATGAAGCTGGGCAGTGAAGGAATGCCCACTTTACAAATTTATGTCGAAATAATAAACTTCTGCTGTTTATGTTTGTCGACCAGAAGAAAACTAAGATAATACATAACAAATGCAATCAGCGGTTACATGTCTTCAAAAATAGATATTGGACTGAATTTACTGGCTATTTCACACAAAGCAGAATAAAGACAGGCTGCCTACTGAGTCATTATGCAAATTTGTGTTACATGTGATGCGGTTGTGAGTTCATTTACTGAGTGGTTCAGGAAATAAAAGTGGAAATGACAGCATTAGCTGCCACCGCTGACTAGCCGTAATTACTGACATTCAGCTCACTTTTCTGTCTCTTCTGCCTGAGTGAGACCATCTCGTAGAGCTCTCTCTCTATCAACCCATCTCCTTCCTTTTCATCCAGCCATTTACTGCATGGGAAAGTCTGCTCTATTCCAGTGAATGGGCAGTAAACCACAACCTGCAAAGAACGCAAGTTCTGTTAATCTATTTAATTGAAAATGAACACATTTTAAAGGGTGCTTGTGGAAATGTACCTTCTCGCAGTACCACCCAGTACTAATCCCTCTGTTGTCGTGTCCAATGGTGACTCTGCTCAGGGGACTGAGGAGTGCAGCAAGCTCGACATTAAAGATGTCTGTTAAGTCCCGTTCAAACTTTCCTCCTTCCAAAAAGACCTTGATTAACCACAACAGGGAAAAGTTTAAGTCTGGTTTGTCCACAAAGAACCTAATTCATGCTCACTGGTCAGAAAATTGTGTCACATGAAAACAAATGTAATGCATGTGAGTATTTTATGTATTTAAATACCTATAAAAACCTATAAAAAAAAGAAGCGACACATTGACACAACATTGATCTGCAGTAATACATACACATTCAGTTCAATTCAATTTTATTTACACAGCGCCAAATCACAACAGCAGTTGCCTCAAGGCACTTTGTACTGTAAGGTAGACCCTACAATAATTCAAGAGCGAAAACCCCAACAAGCATATGACCCCCTAAGAGCAAGTCCTTTGGAAACCTCCAGCAGAACCAGGCTCAGGGAGGGGCGGTCGGTTAGGGTGATCGGTGTCAGCGTTACTCTGAGACAGGATGTTTCTAATTTTAGAGGTATTGGGCAAATGGAAGAAATACTCCTATATATTTGTTTAATATGTGCATTGACAAACATATCCTGGTCAAAAATGACTCCATGATTCCTCACAGTGTTCCTGGAGGCCAAGGTAATGTCATCCAGAGTTGCCATTTGGTTAGATACCATATTTTCAAGATTTAAATAAATATACATAAAATGGTCCCACTGATTACACAAAAAGTACATTTATCACAAAAATACATAAAAATGAAAGTGATGAGCTTTTAACATTAAGAGGCAACCTTGGTAAATTGGCAAACGTGACCAAAAATGTTCTTTAAATCCTACAATGCCAAAGAATTTATAGAATAAATATAATGTGCTGCCTGGGGGAAAAAAGGGGTTTGCTCTCTGTATGGCTATGGCAGCTATAGAGAGTAAAATCAACCATAGTGGATTCATCTAATCTGTAATTAATTCATGCTTAGGTGGGGATGGTTTGAGTGACAAAAGGAGGGTGAAACCGGTGAGGCAGCACCTCAGCTAATTGGAGGCACTTGACTGGACCAGTCTCTCAACTCAAGTCTTCAAAATTATCCCTCTTTTATATCTACTTTAGATTCAGGTAGTAAAAAAAAGGGACTAAATCAGAATAAAAAATGCCCTGCATTAGACCAGAAAAACGTTGAGTTAAAGAAAAACACCTGCAGAGACCCACTGAAGTTAAGGCCACTTTTAACAACTCTGTTTTCAAATGAATCAAGTTTAAGGCAAAAGTTTAATAAGGAAGATCTGCATTGACTCATCTGCCTAGATTCTTGGGTGTTTGGGCTGCTAGTCTATTCTGTGAAACTCAGTTCTGTCATCATCACTCTGGTCCAATTATTTTCTTGCCCCCCTTCTGCGAGTCAGTCGGCCTCTGTTCTGTGCTTTTAACCTCAGTGCTCTTATGTCATTCTGTTTTTCAGACTCTACCTTCAGTTCATCCTGGCCAGACGGAGATCCTTATCAAGTCTCCACAGGTCCTCTCCTACTTCCTACCACAGTTGGACTCTGCTCTGAGATCTGGCTTCATTGGTGTCTAATTGCCAAAAAGTTTATTTATTTCAATAAATCATGCTCAGTTCCTTAAAATGATCTCTCCTCTTGGAAATGAAAATACTCCAAAGACTCCTGCAACACTTATTAGTAAAATGCTTTCTGTTCTGTGTCTTGATTTTCCTCTTTACCTTCCCACTGTTCTTCAAGCCTTTCGTGCCGTGCATCACAATGTGGATTTTGGAGTTGGTCCCGGCACCCCGGATGTTTCCTGTCACAATCTGGACATTGTACACAATACCTGATGGATACAGTTACATGTTAGCTTATCACAGGTAGTGCCAGTGGGTCGCCATGGTTCACAGCACCCGTACTCCCAAGGATACGAGCAGGACCAGATAACCCAGATCTAAACAATAGTAGTTGGATCCAAGAAGCTGCTTACACAGCTTTCTGGTAAGGTTAGTCTGCAGTTATTCATTAATAGTTAATAATTAATTAAAACTGAGGGAAACCTTTTTGTAAGACAGCTCCGAATTGTTAACTATCCTTGAAGCTGGCATCGTTTAAGCCAGTTGAATTGTCTCAGGCTTAAAAACCAATTTTCCAAATTTCATCTTCACCTGTGGGCTGACTCCCTCCAACCAAAACGTCCCTCTGGATCTTCCCATCATCCTCATCGATGGCAAACCAGCGGCTGATGGGGAATTCATACACTAGTTTGTTTCCAAGATCATCTACTATCACCTGTAGAAAAAAACTGCAATATTCAGTATAATTGGTCACACTAGAAACTGCAAAGATCAAAAAACCTAAATAAAATGAGATAGTGGTGCTTCATCTTCTCATGTGCTTGCTCAGTACAGGTCACATTAGTGCAATGCTATGATCAGTCTTACAGAGAAAGTTACAGTAGAAGGATGAAATGAGGCAGAGCAGTCCGAGTTTCAAGTTTCAGTTTCTTAATTAAAGGCTGGAAAGCTGACTGAGCACATTTGTCTGCTGCCTAGGTGAAACATGCACGATTGTCATTCAGTATCCACTTAGTGGCTGTTCCTTTCCTAGAGTGCTGAATATGATGTTGATGACTGTTTTATTCAAATGTGTTTTGCATGCGCAGGTTTCCTTTTTAGCATCCATTTTGTCCTTATGCTCTAT